CAAAGACCTAGCGCTTATCTAGCCCTAGTTTAGCCTAGTTTAATTAATAAAGACAAAGTATAGTATTATAGATAAGGACACCTAGAACTTTAATAAGTCTAGCTTTATAATAGGTAAGATATCCTCTTAGCTTGTTATTATAGGCTTAGAGAAACCTAGGAAATAGAAGAAACTACAGCCTAGTAATTACAAGTAGGTTACCCTAGTATAAGGCGTTGCTGTAATAGGGTATATTATCCTACCCTTCCTTATCTTTGTAGGCAAGGTCCTAATCTCCTCCTAGTTTACTAGTCTACCTTATAACTAGGTTGTTATAGTCTCTCCTACTAGCTAGACTAATAACAATATTATAATAGCATAGCTTAAGCACTTTAACGCCTATACAAAGGTGACCTCTACTAGGGCATATAGGCTGCTTATTATTAACGGCCATAAGAGCCACTGCTTAATAGAATTCCAGGACTACTGCAAGGAGAACAAGATTATCACTCTCTGCATGCCACCACACTCATTGCACCTCCTGCAGCCTCTTGACGTTGTCCCATACTCGCTGTTGAAGCGCCACTACAGTGACAGGATCTCGCTCTTAGCATGTAGCTGCATCTACTATATTAATAAAGAAACCTTCCTACTAGCCTTTAAAGTAGCTTTTAAGAGGACGTTTACACTAGAGAATGTTTGTGTAGGGTTTTAAGGTGCTAGGCTAGCCCTGCATAACCCTAAGGTTGTGTTATTAAAGCTTGATGTACAGCTACGTACGCCAACGCCACCTGCACTAGGCACTGTTGCCTAGGAGGCGTAAACACCACGCAACGCCTGCAAGATAGAGGCGCAGTTAACGCTGATCTAAAATTGCATGTAAATTATTGTAGGTCACTAGCAAGTTTATTAGATAAGCAGGTTAAGCAGTTAAGTAAAGGCGCTTAATAGATAGCTTATAATATAGTGTTAGTACAGGAGGAAATAGGCTGCCTATAAGACGCTGTTACTTGTAAAGAAAGTAGGGAAAGGACTAGACTACTTTCTTCCTAGTCTAGAAGGACCTAGACAAATCTAGACTAGCTTTGTCCAAATAGGAAGCGTATAGCCTAATAGAGGTAAGGTAGGGTTATGTAATATAATAGACAAGTTATTATATTAGATACTAGGTAGAGATTCCTAGGCTAGGTACAGAGCGAAAAGAGGGGGGAGAGCCAGAGGTATTTATGCTTCCTCTCCTCTGTCTGTATTTCTAAGCAGAACGTTCTAGACTAGGCTGGCGGAATGGGTATACTCCAACGTCCTTCGTGGGTACCCCCCAAAACTTTGTCAATAATACATGGATTCTAGCAAAATAGGGCTTAAAAGAAAGAGAAAAACTACTTCTATATTTCTGTAGTAGAGGGTTTTGTTATAACTATTAAACTGCACAGGCTAGAGGCTAGAAAACGTTAAAAAAGGGGGGGTACCTAGCAAGCATACCTATTAATAGGTATACTTTGCTAGGTAGTGTTAATAACTTAGCTAATACTAGACAGAATAAGCTAATTCTTTTTTTATTAGAAGGCGCAATACTAGGCGCTTCTATCGAATAATAGATTATGTAAGCGTATCTCTGCTAGTTAAGAAGCTATAAGCCAAAACGTAAAAAAGCATACCCTACCCATCCGCCAGCCTATTCTAGACTCCTCTAGGTAGGTCTACTTCATCTATGCTTAGTATTGCTGCATATGCAAGCAAGATTACGTAGGTGTATGCGTAATTGTATACGTCAGCATCTTACAGAGTAGGCTACTCTATTTGTAAGCAGAGGGTCTAGAACATTTCTAGTTACTAAAAATAGAGAACAGCATATCTTGAGAACAAGAGGAGATACAGGCTTCGTAAGCACACCATTCTAATCCTCTCTTTTAGGAGATTATGATGACAATACTTAGGTAAGCATAGCGCTACACCTAAGAAGGAAATATGCTAGAGAAAGATTATAAGAACAAAGTCTTATAACTTTACTATATTACCTACTCCTATTTCTTTTTTACTCTGCTTCGTCTATTTACACTCTGTTTCGCACGCAAGTCACAGATATAGGACTGTCTGTCTACTAGGAGGGGGGTAGTGTAATAATACACTATAAAAAGTAGTCTAATACTAGTAGGATATAGTTCTAGTAATATATAACTATAGCCTGTATTGCATAGTATAAGGTTGCATTAAACTACTACTAAACCCTTATATATAAGGAGCAAGGAACTGTAGCACTATAGAGTAAATTTTCTATATCCTTTTGTACAAGACCTATAGGTGTAGAGAATATATCCTAGTGTTCTTATCATCCTAGCACTCCTATAGGCCTTGTAGCGGATTCGCACCTATTCTGGATATCTCTCTTCTTGCCTGCGTCGTTACAGGTATGCTCTGACGTCCTTTGTAAGTACCCCCTATAACTCTGTTGATATTACACTAATTCTTACAAAGGGGGCTGTGCGGAAAGAAAATAACTTAATCTACGTTTTTATAATAGAAAGTTTTATTATAGCTATTGCACTGTACAAGCTAGAGGGCAGAGAAGGCAAAAAAAGGGGGGGTACCTAGTGAGCATACCCATCCATGGGCATACTTTGCTAGGTAGGCTCGATAACTCAATTAATACTAGGCCAAATTAGAAATTTTATTTTACTAGAAAGTGCATTACTGGGCGCTTCTATCGAGTAATACATTACGTAAGCGTATCTCTAATAGTTAAGGAGCTAGAAGCAAAAACAAAAAAATGCCTACCCTACCCATCTGCCAGCCTACGCCCCAGGGCTACTTGAAGATAATTAGAGGCTGAGATTTGTTTATCATAATCTATTAAGAAGTCTAACCTGAGAAGAACCAAAGTCACTGCTTAATCTCTTCTTTAATAAAGTTAGCATCAAGCCTCTAAGCCTTTCAGATCACATCTATCTCACACTTCAAGTAACGCAAGTGGTACAAAACTTTCATCGCACGGGTTGTGTTCACAAAGCGCTACGATCTGAGAAAAGTCTTCTTCTTCAATACCAAAAATGCGGCTGTTGCAGTGCGCGATACTGATTTTGTGTTTGCTGGGTTCAATTTTGCACTACTCGGCTTACCCACCGAAATGTCATAGCAACCATCTGCCAACCCAAGGCACGATATTTATCGCCATCCGAATGCTCTCGGAGAATCATCAGTGAGCTTCAGTGAGCTTCAGTGAGTCCATGGACGTGTAATCTCTCGGTACGGTTCTTATTGAGATCGCAGAGTGGCGCGCATTACGGTATCTGGTGGAAAGTATGGTGAATGTCAGTGCTGATCATGTTACACTTGACAGGCTGGCGGCCATTTGACAATTCTTATTGGAAGGCCAAGACAGGAGTGGCACTTCGAAGCTGCGATCGAAGATGGGAGACATATATACGTCAGCTTGTCTGATGTGTCTGAGTGGCCTGTGGGGGCGATTAGTAAGACCGCAGATGAGCCTGGGACTGCAAGGTGGAGCGAGCCACAGGGCATGCAGGAAAATATCTTGGACGAGGTCATCAAGCGGCTGCAGAGTTGCCGCGTGTAACTGGTGTTATGCGGCGTGTCATCACAGCTTCACGTGTGTGGGAACGTAGTGCGCGCCTGTTTCCTTCCAAATCGCGAAGTGCGGCTTGCAAATCTTGGTCACGATTTGATATCTCGACAGAGTCAATAAGCTGAGCATAAGCTAAATCTTAAATGTTCAATGCTGCCTCTCAAACCCATATACAAGTTCTGCCCTGATGTCCATCAACCTATCCTCAAAACACGTCAGAGTTGCCTCCATGTTCTCAAAATCCTCCTTCGCAACCTGCAGCGCATGCGGCCTCGCTCTCCCTGCGACTACATACATCTCTGCCACATCTGTGATATCGATTCCTCTTACAATGCTTCGGTACTCTTCAATGTCTTTCTCCAGTATCTCGAGCTCAGCCTTCAGTGAGTTCACTGCACCTGCACGATCGGAGGGCAGCAGGTCGGACTTTGCTTCGTCGTGGAGCGTCACAACCTTGATCGAACGCTCTGTGATCTTTTTGTAGTTTGCGGGAAGCACTTGCCAGAACGTTGAGTCTAGTAGTGTTAGGCGTGGTGTTCGGCTGGATTGTGCGGGCATTGCGACTAGCTCCTAGATCGGTTTGCGGGACAGCGTTTAGTCACCTAAATTGTGGCGGTTGCGAGTGTTTATATGCGGATATGGACGAGTGACGTGTGCGGTATATAGGCAGTGTGACTGCGACGTGACATGCAGCAACTTCAAATTTCACCTATCAGCCCATTCAATAAATGCAAATCTTTAACACCTTCGCTGCTTCTCTCCCTGCTGCATCTTCTGGATAGGACTTTCGGTTATCATGCCTTCCCAGCAAACTGAGAAACCCATTGAGGAAGCGTTCCCTACGACTGACTTCAGAGAGTTCATCAACAGTATTCAGGGTGCCAACGCCGTAGGTAAACGGTTCCTTGACAGCATGGCGTTGCGTCGATCTAACGATGTGCTTTCACCCACAATCGAACTGGAAACTGCAGAGCGCGGTCTCTTGATCGCTGAAGCGCTGATAGAGAAACGCCGCGATCTCAACTCGCACTATGGCTGGATATTGACGTCAGACGCTACGCTTGTGTACAGATCCATGGGTGGGAAGAGCGAGCATGGCACGGAATGGGCTCGGCAGTGGGTCAAAGGCATCTACATGGAGTATGAATGCGTGGGAAGCCACCTGCAGGACTTGAAGCTGGAACTGGAGGTTTTTGTAAGGCACGCAAAGAGCGAAGGTAGATCTTGACTCTAGGGTGTCAATGGACGATCGTAAACGTCCTACTATCTTGCGTCCAGCGACTGATGCCGCATCCCCATCAGCGCTCTTTGTGAGCTTGCGTTATCTAGCCGATTTGAAGCTTCGCCGTGCAGCTCAGTCCATAGACTGCCGTCGTTTTTATCGTTTGGTATTGTGCCTTCGGAAAACGTGCGGCCTCTTGGATATTCTGACAGATGCGTTCTCTTGCGCAAGCTGTCTTCGTGGCGACTGTGCGCGAGCGCGTATATCGTTGGTGTCACGGCAACCACTGCAGCAAGTAGAATCTCGAGTGACGCCCATAACGTGTGTCCTCGTTGGACTCGCGAGTTTCTCCCCTGGATGATGCGGATGATGCTGATCGCGACGAGGAGAATACCAATGCTGAAGAGCGCCATGACACGGAGTCGCCTGAGAATGGTCAGTATTATGATTGACTTACTTGCATAGAGCGCACTCACTGGGTAATCGGAACTGTAACTGAGCAGATGAGCGTGAATGATAAAGCCATAAGCATCAGGTCGGTCACAATGTTGCTGACTTCATACGTGAAAAGCCAGATGTTTCCAACAACGCTACCATAGTCAGTACCCTGCGCGACGTCGGTCTTGCAGTATCATACCAATCTCCAGGATCGGGGTAGATCTGCCAGTGTCGCTCGAACGGACGACAACCGACAAAGACAGTGATTACAGAAGCGACGAGGGTAGAGAGTAATACGGTCCAGAAGCCGTATACGATAGTTCGCTCATATGGCATCTTTGATATGATCCTTGCCAATAAGTCGAACACGGCCATCTTCAAACACCACAGCCTGATTCCCTGTCAGAACACGATCACTTACTCAAAAAAGCCAACATACAAGCACGTCAACATAGTCCTTGTCGCCAAGACCAGTTTGCTTCCTATGACGATCTCAGATGCTGATTGCTCGTGTCCAGGTTCAAGTAGCTGCAGACGGCGCTCTGCTGGGAGTACTGAGGTGGGATTAGCCTGCGCTCGCCAACAGTCAGAGCGGCCGCGTACTCCTTGTGGAGCCATAGACCAGCAGATAGTAATTGGCGACTAGTCGCGCAACCGTGAATAACGCAGCCAACAAGCACCAGTAGTCACCACGTATAAGGCGCTGCTTCCTCCACAGCCGGAAGCTGATCCGGAGGACGACCAGCGCGACCGATAGCAGGAGGCACACCCACAAGGATATCGATGAGAGCGGATCCATCGCCATTGCGACAGACGACGCAGTGTGTCCAAACGAGTGGAACGAACCGTAGGTGAAACGCTGGCTACATGGAGTGCATACGTCGATGTCGGAGACAAGCGGGCACGTCAGGATCCGTTACTATATGACACCGGGGGTGTCACGGGGCTTATGCAAGCCACATGCAGTGCCGTAAGGTATCCTTTGTCTGGTCTGGCTTCGGGTACGATTGTTCGTATTCGGCTTGTCCATTGGTCTCTGAAAAAGACGGCGGACGCCACCGCGTGTAAAGGGCCGAGCGGATGTCTGGGGCTCGGCTCATCACCGAAGATCCTACGTCCCACAGAAGCAATTGCGAAGCTTCGCCTAATTTATCGCGCAGATGGCGGTAAAGCGTCCAATGAGAGTGGAAGTCTGCTAGTTGTGCGCCAGCCGTCACACTATGGGCGGCAGTTACTGCCATGTGGTCCTCCCGAGTCTCAAATGTGGGGTGCGATCGTCAACGGTTAAGGGCTGGGGTTAGCGCACAGTCGCGCCTTTTGCGACCCCGCTGCCAGATCGTGCTCTGAGCGCAAGACAGGATCTGGACCAGGCGCTGCGCTATTCAGTAGTCGACAACTTCCAAACCTCACCTGCGAACTGCCTTGCGGCTAGGACAACCGCACAAAAATCATCGTTCATCCAATCATTGCAATAGTGTATTCGCATCTGCAACCCAAAGATCAGAGCATCCATGAAGTGCCCGGTGCACGTGTACCGGCGCAGGGGTACTTCTGACACTAACGCCCCTTGTATGACAGTTTGAGACACCTGCAACTGCTCTCGTCAGCACACTGCTATTTCTAGCACACTGCTCGCGACACACAAGGCACAGAGTTCTTTATCAGGCGCAGGAGCTCAAATGTTCTGCGCCGAAGGCACTGCAAATACGCCCTGAGCGGTAGGCGTGCAACGAAGAAAGGGTCAGCAATCATGGCTCTGTGCCGCGCGGAAGCACGACCATGACCTCACCCACCCACGGCCGACCTTCTGCGTGAAAAGTCCGTGCAAGACAGATCGTGTGATGGGATTTATAGCGATTGGTGTTACCCGGCACCGAATTTGTGGAACCGGACGCTGCGCGAAATGAGGCGGCGATGAGATAGGAGTCCATGAAGGCACAGGCTGTGAATGCGCATGAGGCAGATTAGCAGAAGACGGCGTAGCTAGAGATTTCTGGAACTTATTGGTCGAAGTGCATCCTGTTCCGAGGTTGTGCAAGGAGCTTGCGGAAAGATGGTCACGTGCCGTCTAATCAACCCGTAAGGCGCGACGAGCAGTAACAGAAGGTCCAGCTGTCTTGGAGGCATTGTGGTTGCCATTTTGGTGTTTGTTTACACGTTGCACAGGGAGCGTCGCTGGGGTGTGGATAAAGTCGATTTTCCAGTATTATGCGCCATGGCGTCGTCATACTGATGCTCCATACAAACAGCACACGCCATTCTTTCGCATTGACTACCAACATCACATCACAGTTATGATGAACAGGATTAGAAAATCGCTGGACAAGGGCAGAGAAGCAATGCAATCATCGTCGGACGCGAACTTGGTGGCTATCAAGGACTCTGGCGCATCGGTGGTACGTGCCATAGGAGTTGGCGCAGGCCCGATTTGTGGAAACTCGCTAATCATTCCCCTGCAGATCCAAGGGGGACGCCCGAGCCAAGAGGACAGGTACATCGCGCTGGCGCCCGGAAGCCTCAAGTCGAACAAAAATATCGCGCTCTACGCTGTATTTGATGGACAGTATGACATTCCGCACTGAGGCTCAAAGCAAACATTGACCTCCGTCCTAGTGCAGGGGCAACTGTGTCCGATCACTTGCGTGGGAACCTGGCAAATTTTATCGATGAGGCACTCTCCAAGTCTTCACCGCACTCACCAGAGACTTACAAATCGGCTATCCAGGATGCACTCGACAGAGAGGATGAGATTATCGACCGGCAGAATTGGAAAGATGGCTCCACCCTTGCCCTGGTCTTGATCGATACACAGCAGAATATCCTCGTCGAAGCAGACTTGGGCGATTCTCATATGGTGCTTGCCGAGCATACCAGGCGTAATAAGAAAGAAGAAAATAAGCTCAAAAAGCTCGACCATACCTTGAGAGCTCACCACCTTGTTAAGGGTAAGAACGAGTGGAGCAACGAGCGACTCTCGGTACCGCATAAGCCAGACGACCCAATCGAGAAGAAAAGAATCGAAGATGCTGGAGGCAGGGTGAATTACGATACGGGTGCTGCAAGAGTCGGTACGCTTACCCCCACGGCACTCGCTGACAAAAAGGAGCGCTGCCCCATAAGTCTCCAATATGCTGACATCCCTTCCCAGGTGCTCTTGCAATGACCCGCGCTATGGGCGACACCGAGCTAAAGATGCCGAGAGTCAACAACCTCGCTAATCATAACCTGGAAGATTTGGTTGGTGTCGAGACAGGCCTCAAGCCGGGTAGGAGGGCATCGGCAGATCTCGTCACCAACAAGGCACACTTCGCCGTGCGGCACCTTAAGGGAGAGTGCTTAGTCCTCATTTCCACCGATGGCATAGGTGATGAGAAGGAGGCTGAACTGGCGGCTCGTACTGCTACCGACTTGAACTCGCAAGGTTGGCCAGCGAATGAGATCGCAACGGAATTGGCGAAGCAAGCTGTGAAAAGAAAAGATCCTGACAATTGTACCGTGATTGTAGTGATTCTGGAAGCGCCAAGCGCCGCGCAGTAAAGCAGCTGGCGGATGAGCATCTGCACCCTCTTTGTTCGGTCCTTACAGTAAGAAAAGATACCATTTCATGAAAAGGGGTTCGTCAAGTTGGTCCGTGATTTGCTGGGAGTCAAATTCAGGCCGTCAGCCCGTGCACACAGCCTCGTTCAGGAACCTCCTGTCTGATTCGCACAAAGCAGTATGACTACACAGCCTGTGTGAGCATCGCTTATGTATTGAACATGATAGGAACGGGACTTCTGACCGACTTCGTTATCATTCCCTGAAATGTTGCACTGCAGAAGTAAGGAGGACGCAGCGGATGAGCAACAAAAGGCGCGAGGCTGGGCTGGCAAGCAAATTATGGTTGCCCGAGCGCTGTGTAGATCAAGTAGAGCTGACTAGAAGAAGGAGAAGCAATCGGATTAGTAGCATCACAACAACGTGACAGTAAATAAAGACTGCGCAAAAGGTGATCTTCGGAAGGCGCCAAGCGGAAATGCGTCTTCGCATGAGGAAAGCTTAAGGAAGAAGGGTACGGATGAGCCGAACAGATTAGAGCACATCAGGATGACCATGCGGATTTGTGCTCTTAGGGGTGGAATTTGAGGTTTTATACGAGATACGATGTGGTGTGTTTACTGATAACCGAGAGCTACGCATCTCTCACAAGGCTTGTGCAGGCTCCTTACGCTGAATTTCAGGTCCTCTCTTTCTGAGTGGCTCTTAAATCTAACAAGTTTCTCAGCTATCTATCTTGACACCTTGGCATAGGTATGCAAGGCGATGGGGCTGAGCATGAGTAGCGACACCATCGAATACACCTTCATGAAGCAAGATGGCAAGTAAGACACGGGAGCAAATCTGTAATCTAGCTATAAAAATTGACTAGGTAGTAACGTAGGTGTAGGGCGAGTCGCCCACCAGGGCGAGTCGCCCACTTTTGCCAAGACCCCACCAAAACATCAACTCTACACCAATGCCTCCACAACCACGTCAAATAGACGCGTCCAAAGAGGCTCAGATACAGCTTGCGCTACTAGCTCTTTAACAAGACCCTAATCTCTCAGTAAGACGCGCTGCAGCTCTCTACAACGCGCCCTGAACAACTCTACGCGACTGACTTACTGGACGACCTTCACGCGTCAATACTATAGCTAATTCGCGGAATCTGACCGCTGCTGAGGAGCGGGTGGTTGTTGCGTACATACTTGAGCTGGTCACGCGAGGAGAGTCCCCCCGGCTCGCAGCTGTGGCTGATATGGCCAATTCTCTGCGAAAAGAGCGCAGTTTGGCCCCTGTTGGCTCAAGGTGGGCCAGCACGTTTGTTTCGCGTCAGGAGGAGCTTAAAACAGTCTTCAATCGCAAGTACAACTACAAGCGAGCCCTCTGCAAGGACTCTGAGGTTATACAGGGCTAGTTTATCCTTGTATCTAACGTTAAAGCTAAGTATAGCATCCTAGACAACAACATGTACAACTTCAACAAGACAGGCTTTATAATGGGCCAGATAAGCACTGGAGTAGTTGTTACAGATGCAGAGAAGCTAGGACGAGCAAAGCAGATCCAGCCAGGCAACCAGGAGTGGGTGACAGTCATTAAGGGCATCAATGCCACAGGATAAAAACGAATCCGTGAGCTTGAAGCAGCTGCTAAGGCCACTACACAACGCAAATTGCACAAAAGAAAGCGTATTCAAGCTGAGGGAAGCCTTGCAGTTGAAGAGGGCCAGCGGTTAACTGCTCTAAAGGCGCTAAGCTAAAAAGCTTAACGTAGATTATCACCGAGCCGGCCATATCACTAAACTAGCCACTTTCTCTTAGTACAACCACCTTTTACCCTAACATAACATGCAATAATAATAACAACTTTAGAATACTACTAGAGAAGGCAGAGTTATCCTTACTATCTAGGCCTTCTATGCTGTCTAATTTTGTAGTATCTGCAGCGCTGCTAGAGCGTTGAATGTACCTTATTAGCAGGTCTCTAATTGCCTTTGCAATATCACGTTTTAACTAGACATACATGCTAATTGCTAGAAACTTACTATACTAGAGGAGCAGACAATTATCTAGTATATACTTAACCTTAATTTGTGAGGATTTGCGCCCTAGCTATATAAGGTGGCAGATATAGCTAATAAGATACTTAGTGTGCATAGTGAAGAGCCTGTTGGCAAACTATAGGCTAGCAGGCTTGTAACGCGTTTAGACAAGCTTAAAATAGCCTTTAATTAAGCTAAGGATAGACAGAGGATACTATAGGAAGATCCTAAGATAATTAGTGTGTAGTGTAAGCTAGTAGAGGATACTTAAGTTAAGTATAACGTACTCTATCACCAAGCCAGTTATATCACCGAACCAGTCACTTAAAATCCCACCAAAAAACACAGAAACTATACCCCTCCATCTTAATAACTACTTAATGGAATCTTCTAAAAACTTCAGAATAAAGCTGCATCTATACTAATAAAACTATTTAAAAGTCTTAGACTAATAGCTAGTATAGATGTTGAGATAGCCTGCAGCTACCCCTGTATTTCAGTATCTTCTGAACAACATCTGCAATATAGGGCTAAGCACTCTAAGACTTTTAAGCAGTCTTATTAGTATAGATGCAGCTCTATTCTGAAGTTTTTAGAAGATTCTATTAAGTAGTTATTAAGATGCAGGGGTATAGTTTCTGTGTTTTTTGGTGGGATTTTAAGTGACTGGTTTGGTGATATGACTGGCTCGGTGATAGAGTACGTTAGTGTTTATAACAATAATATACACAACTTTAATAAAACTAGGTTCTAGATAGGTATTGCTTTGTCTTTAAAGGTTGTAATAGGCTTAGAGAGACGTGCTCAGCTAGAGCTTGTTTAGCTAGGCAATTGCGAGTGGGTTACTGTTATCTAGAGCATCTGCGCTGCTGGGTATGCAACCCTACCTTTTATTATCTACAAAGTACGCGTCTACATCTCTGCCTAGTATAAGGAGACAGATATACCCTATAATTAGAAGCTCTTAGTCTCTAAGAATAGTTAGATAAATAATATACTTAGCCTTAAGTAGTTAAAGCACTTTAACACGCATATAAAGATATATTAGGTAGGAGTATATAGGTTGCTTATCTTAGACAGCTATAAGAGCTATCTTAACTAGGAGTTTAAGGACTATTGCCTAGAGAACTAAATCCTTACTCTCTGCATACTACCTTACTTATTACACATCCTCTAGCTACTTACTGTTTGTAAAGTTATAAGACTTTGTTCTTATAATCTTTATCTAGCGTATTTCCCTCTTAGGTATAGCGCTATGCTTACCTAAGCATTGCTATTGTAATCTCTAAGAAGAGAGGATTAGAATGGTGTGCTTACAAAGCCTGTATCTCCTCTCGTTCTTAAGATATGCTGTTCTCTATTTTTAGTAACTAGAAATGTTCTAGACCCTCTGCTTACAAATAGAGTAGCCTACTCTGTGAGATGCTGACGTATACGATTACGCATGCACCTACGTAATCTTGCTTGCATATGCAGCAATACTAAGCATAGATGCAGTAGACCTACCTAGAGGAGTCTAGAACGTTCTGCTTAGAAATACAGACAGAGGAGAGGAAGCATAAATACCTCTGGCTCTCCCTAGGCTGGCGGATGGGTAGGGTATGCTTTTTTACGTTTTGGCTTATAGCTTCTTAACTAGCAGAGATACGCTTATATAATCTATTATTCGATAGAAGCGCCTAGTATTGCGCCTTCTAATAAAAAAAGAATTAGCTCATTCCGCCTAGTATTAGCTAAGTTATTAACACTACCTAGCAAAGTATACCTATTAATAGGTATGCTTGCTAGGTACCCCCCCTTTTTTAACCTTTTCTAGCCTCTAGCTTGTGCAGTTTAATAGTTATAACAAAGCCCTCTACTACAGAAATATAGAAGTAGTTTTTCTCTTTCTTTTAAGCCCTATTTCGCTAGAATCCATGTATTATTGACAAAGTTTTGGGGGGTACCCACGAAGGACGTTGGAGTATACCCATTCCGCCAGCCTAGCTCTCCCCCCTCTGTTCGCTCTGTACCTAGCCTAGGAATCTCTACCTAGTATCTAATATAATAACTTGTCTATTATATTACATAACCCCACCTTACCTCTATTAGGCTATAAGCTTCCTATTAAGACAAAGCTAGTCTAGATTTGTCTAGGTCCTTCTAGACTAGGAAGAAAGTAGTCTAGTCCTTCCCCTACTTTCTTTACACTGTTAAAGTGTAAGTACTCCTAATATGTTTAAGACTTAGCATGCTAACATGTCTTCTATATTAATAAGGAAGGCTTCCTACTAGCCTTTAGGGACGCGTTCCTTAATATATTTACAAAGCTTAACTACTAAAAGGCCTTTAAGGTATTAGGGCTTGTTCCTACTAATATGCAGGTAGTGTTAGATTACCTTAAAGTGTGGCTGCATACCCTACTAGTAGTACCTCTACCTAAAATACTATAGTAATCTAAGATGCTAAGTAATATAAACAAGTTTAGGTCTTAATCTAAGCTTATAAGTAACTCCTTCTAACAATTACTAAGTATAGCGCAAGAGGGGTTCTTAAAGCTTATAAAAGGGGCTAAAGAGATGCTATATAAAAATGTCCTTATTAAGGCCTGCGTGCAAGAGCTTAAAGAGTAATTACTAGTAATAACTAAGAGAAAATCGCGTAAGAGAAAGCAGATTCAGCATAGTGGCACACTTAAGTATAGCCTAGCAGCATCGCGGGTAGCTGCTGAGGCGTGTGTAGCAGCTTAGCCATCTAAGAAGACTTGGGGTGGAGGTGGTCAACTAGGAGCTTAGTCAACTGTTTAGCGCTGTGGGAACAACAGCAAGACTGGACACAACGCACGAACGTGCTAGGAGGGTGTGCAGAAACATCTTCTAAATCTGATATAAGCTGTAGTAGTCTGGTTTAGAGTCTAGACTGTTACATAAGCACGCAGTATGCTAGGTCACTGTTTAATAGTAAGTAGTTGTAGTTGCAGTAACTTGTGTTAGTCGTGCCAAGAGAAAATGGCTGGTTCGGTGATATGGCCGGCTCGGTGATAATCTACGTTAAGCTTTTTAGCTTAGCGCCTATACGCCTTCTTTAAAGGGGCAAAACAACCTACATTAAGTGGCTGCAGGAGGTGCAACAAGTGTGAAGGCATGCATAGGGTTACAATCTTGTTATCCTTGCAGTATTGCTAGAATTCTAGGGAATCGTGGCTCTTATAGCTATCAATAACCAGCATCTAATAGGTGCTAATAGTACGCTCCTTTATATGCGCGTCAAAGTGCTTTAACTACTCTAGACTAAGCTTGTTATCAGATAAGAGCGAGCGGCGAGAGGTCGGATCTGCGCAATCGAGCAGGGACCTGTCGCGCAGCCAATCAGCAGTTGCCAGGTCGATTAAGCGAGACCTGGCAACTCCTGATTGGCCCGCACACAGGCGGCCGCGAACAGCGCTAATTCCCCCCCCACTTCAATCCTGTAGCAACCAGCACGACGCCACAGCAGAAAACACCATCGCCACAATCATCAATAAATCATCATACCACCTAAGATCTCGTTAAGCACATACTCTGGCTCACAGTACGAGCATCTGACAAGAGTATTGCGTCTTTTTAGATAGCCTGTAAGGCAAGCTATATATTAGCCTTATTTAGAGGCTTTTTTTTGTTATTACGTTAGGACATTAAAGGTAGAGTGAAGTTTAGCGTAGTCTTGGCAAAAGTGACCGGCTCGCTTGGGTGACTGGCTCGCTTGTGGAGTACGTTAATATAAACACTGTCTTGCAATCACTCTACTACATTGCTTTCTAGAACTAGCTCTTTTAGGCAGAAAATGGCGGCTTACGCCACGCTCTGGCTCACAAGAAGCGCAGGCAAAGTAAGGGCAAGGCAATTGCTCTGTTGCAACACTACAAGTACTAGGGACCTAAGATAATGTGGACTCCTTGCTTATTCTAGGAAGCTAAGGTGCGCATAAGGTAAGTGCTAGAGGAAAAGGACAAAGAAGAGCGTGAAAAGTCTAAGATAAAGGAACTACAGAGGGCTAACAAGCTCTACAATGACAAGATTGCAGAAGAAGCAAAGGTGCAGCGTGCAAGGGATGCAGAAGCGTGGAGGAAGGCGAAGGAGAAAGAGCGCGCAGCTATTAATGCGCGCAAAGAGCAAAGACGTGAGGAAAAGAAGCTTGCAAGGCTTAAAAGACTTATAACTAGCTAACAAAGGCAAGCGCAAGATTACTACAGCTTCTGCAGCAAAAATAGAAGTAGGTGTGTAGTGTTGCGGACGCGCGCTCCCAACACCTACACCAAAGTACAACAGCCATGGCCGCAAAATTGCTCTATGTAAAAGACTGCATACATATCTGTCTTTGAATCACCGGGCAGTGCCTGCTACAATAGGATATCATGTGATCTGAGCCACGTGGTTACAACATGTCATGGCCAGGTTCATGCTCAATCCCCACTTGACATTTAACCGCGTCTCAAACGAGACGTTAGCCTTCCTATATGTAGGAATTGGCGATGCGCGGCATTTCATCCAGACGTTGCAAGCTTTCGTGGAAGGCGAGTTCAAAGCAGGCTTCAAGTATCGCTTCACGATCAATGATGTTAGACGTCGGCAGGATGTTTGCTTCCACCTAATCCTTTGCTGAGTGCAAAGCTGGATGCCATTCTGAAAAGGCGCGAGAAGTCTAAGCGTTCGTATGTGCTCTGCGACCACATCAATTTTGACAGGATGATCAGTCCAACGCTGGTAGATCCTGGCTGCATCAGTCAAGATCACGATCTCTTTGACGTTGGTCATACTCCCTTCGAGCTGGAGCTTCACCTGTATGGCGGCTGCATATGGCCACAGCCCAAGAATGCAAAGACAATCTTCGAATTTGGCAACCACTTCTCCGTGGCAACTGTCAGAGCTTCGGCCCAGATCTGCGAACACTTGGTGGCGGAAGCAATCTCGGGCGACATTACCAGCCTGCTAGAGGGAATCGGACACAAGTTGCTCCCATCAAGAGACTCCAGCTACCCGACAGCATATTCTCATACTCATCTGCGCAACATCCCGTACTAAATACACCACTCACATAGGGTTGACACTAATGCGATGCAGCGATTACATGGATGACAGTGTGTTTACCGGCCTCAACCGGACAGCGCCTTACCTGAACACATCAATTTCTTAGCTTGTCTGATGGAACCTGTGTCGGTTCACGTACGATTATGTCGAGGTGAAGGCAGGGATTACTACGATGAGACTGAAGGCGCTGTGGCCAACGCGTCAACGCGCTAGCTGCTCCTCCAAGTATAATCTCACTTCCGCCTCCGCACCGTTTCACCAATAATAGTATCTTGTGCTCACCAAGGGCACACTCCAGTTCTTCAACTACACGAATCTAAAGCCCACGATCGCTGAACACGTCGAAAACGCAACTCAATGGCGAAAGCGCAAACAAGCGCGGCGCGTCGCGGCCGCCCTGCCAGAAACGCTACGTCAGAGATTCCCGTTGCCGTCATAATCCCTCCTAGTCTTAAGAAGCGCGGTCGTCCAGCAAAGATTGACGCTGTAGCAGTAGCTCCTATTGTGCCGCCGAAGAAGCGCGGCCGTCCCTCAAAAACACAAGCTTATGAGCCCATTGCGCAAATCAATCAGGCCATCAAGCGCGGTCGCCGCTCAGTCGCAACTGCTGAGGAGGCTGTCGCAAAGGCGCCGATTCCCATAAAAAAGCGCGCTGGACGACCTGCGAAAACTGCCGCTGCTGCTGAACTAACTGTCGCGCCTAAGAAGCGCGGCGGCCGTCCTCGCAAGGAGGATGCTGTACATGAAGCTCCAGTTACACTCAAGCGCCGCGGTCGTCCTGCGCTCGACCTCAACCGCGTTGCTGAATCCTCGCGCGTTACAAAGCGCACTTCACCGCGCTCCAAGCTCGCCGCTAGAGCGCCTCCTAAAGTCGCTGCTGCGCCCCGTATCAACCCTAAGATGCGTTCGCGCCTGCGCACACGTGCTGCGCCAGTTCAGAAGAAGACCGTCGTTGAGCCTGTCAAGAAGGCCCGCGGCAGGCCCAAAAAGGTCGAGGTCGAGAAGCCGATCGCACCAAAGAAGGCCGATAGCCGTGGCCGCAAGGCCAGCGTGCCTGCTCCAGTCGCCCCAGCTAAGAAGGTGACCGCACATCCCAAGACCGCTGTTCCCCGCAAGCGTCGCGGCTTCTCATCAGTCGAGGTCCTGGACAAGTTCGCTGCACAGGTGAAGCAGTACATTCTAGACCTCCAAGCTGAGGATACAGCCAATGCTGCCGCCGCTGCCGGCGAGGCTGATGACGAGGGCGAAGATATCGAAATCGAAATCGAGCTTGGCACTGCGGATGCCACTGGCCCCTCTGGCAACATCCAGGCTGAGATCGAGCTTGAAGAAGCCACTCCTGCGCTTGCAGAAGACGAAAAGGAAGATGAGTGCGAGCACATACTCATCGACCCAGGGGAGGTAGCGGAGGCAGCGGCGCTCGACCAGGAGCAGTTTTCTAGGGGCACAGATGGCGTAGCAGAGCTTGCTTCCGAGAGCGACGACTTCGAGGACGAGACCGAGCTCCTATCTGAGACTGCCGTGCTTGCTGAGATCGCAGCTGTGCAGGACGAGCTCGACGTGCAGAACCATATCGAGCAGGATGTCGAGATTGCAGAAGATGCTCAAGCTGGGCTCGAGCGCCAGAGCTCCGCCAGTCACGCCTCGGTTCACTTGTTCGAGGAGATTACTGGGGTGTCTTCGATCCCACAGATGGATGGCTCAAACGAAGTTGAGGCCTTTCACGCTCACGTCGACGAGCACGACCATGTCTTAAACGCCCCTGCGCCAAAGACTGCGAGCGCCGGATCGCTGTTCAGCGGGTTTTAAGGAATCGGTCTATATGTGCGCCCATAACGTTGCGCAGTCCTGATTCTGACCTCACGGCTCTCACGAACTTTTTGGGCTGGCTTGAGCTTGTATGAGCGGCGTTTCTAAACGTTCAGATATGTAGCTCAACATCAATTTATCGCTCATTTTCACTTTATCACATGAAACTTTGTTTTTCTGCATCGCGAAAGGATACTCAGCTATACGTTGCCACAGCGCCATCCTTGTTGCAGTGTTTTCTTTGAAGCATGGAGTCCATATCCACTAACGTGTACCGTGGCCGTGCGCCCGATGAGCCAGTTCAGCCGATGAGCCACCCCAACAAGATATTGACAATAGAAAAATGAAGCTATAGAGCCACACCTAAAAGATGTTATTGCAAGAAATGTTAGTGTATTACTATAACGTAGATTATCACCGAGCCAGCCATATCACCAAACTAGCCACTCTCTCTTAGCACAACTACCTTTTACCCTAATATAATATACCTTAATAACAATAACTTTAGAATACTACTAGAGAAGGTAGAGTTATCCTTACTATCTAGGCCTTCTATACTAGCTAATTTTGTAGTATCTACAGCGCTGCTAGAGCGTTAAATGTACCTTATTAGTAGGTCTCTAATTGCCTTTACAATATTATATTTTAACTAGACATACGTCCTAATTGCTAGAAACTTACTATACTAGAGGAGCAGATAATTTTCTAGTATATACTTAACCTTAATTTATAAGGATTTGTGCCCTAGCTTTATAAGGTAGTAGATATAGCTAATAAGATACTTAGTGTGTGTAGTAAAGAGCCTATTAGTAAACTATAGGCTAGCAGGCTTATAACACGTTTAGATAAGCTTAAAATAGCCTTTTATTAAGCTAAGGATAGACAGAGAATACTATAAGAAGATTTTAAGATAATTAGCACGTAGTTTAAGCTAGTAGAGGGTACTAAAGTTAAGTATAGTATTTATAATAATAACATGCATAACGTGGTTTATCACCAAGCCGCCAGGTATCACCAAACCGCCACCCCTTACCAATTTTGCGACTGTTATGATAATTATTACAATGCCATTACAACACAACACGCAATCACCCTATAACAAAGGTACACTATACCTTGCTATCTAAGCTACAAAAGCTACTGTGCCTAACAGTATAAATTACGTGTCTAAGGCCTTTAGTGTTCCCTAATTAATGTTAAGAGACTAGCACGCAGGAGGGCTTGTATAACGTAATTATAAGGCTAATTTAAAGAAGCTAACAAAGGTAGAAGAGGAGGCAATAGTTAACTGTATACTTAAGCTAGACAGGCAAGGAATAGGCGCAATAAAGACTATGGTGCAAGATATAGCTAATAATCTGCTTACTGCACGTAGTAAAGGACCTGTTAGTAAGCTCTAGGTAAACAGGTTTAACACACGTACCTAATAAATTAAGCTTTAATGTAGCTAACTATATAATTGTTAACAAGCCCTAAATAAAGATACACGCGTTATAACACCCTAGTTTAAGCTAGTTAGGAATACAAAGGAGAAGTATAGAATCCTAGATAGAGATACCTACAACTTTAATAAGACTAGGTTTATAATAGGCATAATTAGGTCTAAGATAGTGTTCACAGGCTTAGAGAAGTAATCTAACCCTAAGAATATCTAGCCTAGCAATTAGGAGTAGGTCACAATTATTATTAGTGTCTGCGCTGCTGGCTAGGCTATCCTACCCTTTATTATCTTCTAAGGCAAGGTCCTAATTACAACCTAGTACCCTAATCTGCCTTGTAATTAGGTAATTATAACTAGCAAGAATAGCTAGACAATAAACAAGCTTAGTCTAGAGTAGTTAAAGCACTTTAACGCGTCTATAAAAGAGCGTACTATTAGCGCCTACTGTCTGCTTATTATTAATAGCTATAAGAGCTATAACTCTGTAGAGTTTAAGGAATACTGCGTAGAACACAAGATTATTACCTTATGTATGCCCCTACACTTATTGCACCTGTTACAGCTACTTAACGTGGCCTGTTTTAGCCCCTTAAAGAGGGCGTACTTAATTAAGGTTAACACCTAGTTACAATACTTAAAGATATAAATTAAGAAAGAGTTCTTCCTTACTAGCTTCTAGACAGCCTATTACAAGGCTATTACAAAAGACAATATCCACAGAGGCTTTAGAGGCGCAGGACTAGTTCCTTTTAACCTAGAGCGAGTGCTATTAAAGCTTGATGTGGTCCTTTGCACGCTAACACCACCACTACTAGAGACTACCCTATAGGAATCTAAAACACTAACTAGCGCAAAGGAGGTTAAGTCACAAATGTTGTATATCTGTAAGCGCATGCGATTGCACAGAGATTCGCCCCTGTCTCCTATTATAAAATTACTTAACTCGCTTGCTAGAGGGGTTGCGCAGATAGACTATGCCAACGTGTTGCAGAGAAGGGAAATAGATAGCATAAAGAAGGCTATTAAGGCTCTAACAGCGCAGTGTGGTTGCAAAAGAAAGTATATCTAGACAGAGGAGGCTCTCACGGTTGGTGAGGTACAGGATATAATAGCTGAGAAGGACAGTGGTGGTGGTGAGGCATCTAAACAGTCTAGGAAGAAGGTGCGCAAAGAGAGGCACTGCAGACGTTGCAGCAAGACTAGCTACAATTTGCGCACCTGCACTGCAGAAATATTAGATGCAGATAATAGCGCTGCTTCTAAAGAGTAATTGTAGCAATTGTAAGTATTAGTGTAGTGTTGTGGTTAAGCGTAATAGTTGTGTAATAGTTAGTAACTCTAAAAAAGTTGGTAAGGGGTGGCGGTTTGGTGATACCTGGCGGCTTGGTGATAAACCACGTTAACTTTAATAAAATTAGGTTCTAGATAAGTGTTGCTTTGTCTTTAAAGGTTGTTACAGGCTTCAAGAGACATGCTTAGCTAGATCTTGTTTAGCTAGGCAATTACAAGTAGGTTACTGTTATCTAGAGCATCTGCGCTGCTAGGTATGCAACCCTACCTTTTATTATCTACAAAGGACGTGTCTACATCTCTGCCTAGTATAAGGAGATAGATATACCCTATAATTAGAAGCTCTTAGTCTCTAAGAATAGTTAGATAAATAATATACTTAGCCTTAAGTAGTTAAAGCACTTTAACACGCATATAAAGACATGTTAGGTAGGGGTGTATAGGCTGCTTATCTTAGACAGCTATAAGAGCTATCTTAACTAGGAGTTTAAGGACTACTACCTAGAGAATAAAATCCTTACTCTCTACATGCTACCTTACTTATTACACATCCTCTAGCTACTTAATATAACGTAGTTCACAAGCGAGCGGTCCAACCCAAGCGAGCGGTCCATCCCAACCATGATAGCCTAATAACTATTTTGCATTACAATGCTATCCTAACACAATATGCAATTAACCTATACTAAAGGGACCTTATAGCTTACTATCTAAGCTATAATTAAAGTTTATAATAAGAGTAAAAGACATGCTATTATAGCCTTTAGCGTACCTTAAACTACTATCTGCTAACAACGCTAAGGAGCCCTCTCTTAACACAATTATAAGCCTAATTTAAAGAAGCTAAGTAAATTAGAGGAGGAGGCCCTTGTACAACGTATACTTGAGCTTGATACAAGAGGAATACCTGCTACAAAGGCTATAGTGCGAGATATGGCCAATAATCTGCTTGCTGAGCGCGGTGGAGAGCCTGTTAGCAAGCACTGGGTAGACAACTTCAAGACGCGTACGCCTGAGATCAAGCTTCGAAGGAGCCGTCCATATGATCGCCAGCGAGCCCTTAACAAAGATGCACGCGTTATAACGCCCTAGTTTAAGCTAGTTGCTAACACAAAGGCTAAGTACAGCATCACAGACAAAGACATGTACAACTTTAACAAGACAGGCTTTATAATAGGGGTTATCTATAGCTAGATAGTCTTTACAGGCTCTAAGAAGCGTAGCACAAAGAGCCTGTAGCTAGGGAACTGTGGTTAGGTCACTAATATATAAGGAGTTAACGCTAAAGGATAGGCTATCCTAGGCTGGCGGAATGGGTATACTCCAACGTCCTTCGTGGGTACCCCCCAAAACTTTGTCAATAATACATGGATTCTAGCGAAATAGGGCTTAAAAGAAAGAGAAAAACTACTTCTATATTTCTGTAGTAGAGGGTTTTGTTATAACTATTAAACTGCACAAGCTAGAGGCTAGAAAAGGTTAAAAAAGGGGGGGTACCTAGTGAGCATACCTATTAATAGGTATACTTTGCTAGGTAGTGTTAATAACTTAGCTAATACTAGGCAGAATGAGCTAATTCTTTTTTTATTAGAAGGCGCAATACTAGGCGCTTCTATTAAATAATAGATTATGTAAGCGTATCTCTGCTAGTTAAGAAGCTATAAGCCAAAACGTAAAAAGGCATACCCTACCCATCCGCCAGCCTAGGCTATCCTACCCTTCCTTATCTTCCCTAGCAAGGTCCTTATTACCTTATAGTTTTATAATCTACCTTAGGATTAGGTAATTAAATTTGTCCTAACAGCTAGATGTTAAACAAGCTTAGTATTGCCTAGCTAAAGCAGTTTAATACCTATATAAAAGACTAGAAGGTAGGTGCACACAGGCTGCTGATTGTGGACAGCTATAAGAGCTACAGCGTACATAAGTTATACAAACACTGTAAGGAAGAGAAGATTATTATTCTCTGTATGCCTGCTTACTTGTTGCACCTGCTACAGCCAGTTAACGTAGGTTGCTTTTCGCCTTTAAAGTGGGCATATAGTGATAAGATCAGTAGCTTAGCATAGTACAGCTCTAAGCAGATTAAGAAGGAGGCTTTCCTACCAGCCTTTAAAGCAGCTTTTAAGAGGTTAATTACAAAGGAGAACATCTGTGTAGGCTTTAGGGGCGCTAGACTAGTTCTACACAACCTAGAGGTGGTGATATTAAAGCTTAATATAGTCCTTTGTACGCTAACTCTACTAAAGCTAGAGGACACCCTATATAAATTAAAAACTCTAAGCAACCCCTGTAAGATAGAGGCTTAGTTAACGCTGGTTTGTGAGCGTGTACAACTGCACAGTGATTCCCTAGTTTCTCCTCTGCTTAGAGCAGTTGAGCAGCTAAACAAGGGCATTGCATAGATAGGGCATGATAGCGTGTTAATGCAACAGGAAATAGCAGGGCTTCGCAAGGCAGTAGAGATAGCAATAGAGGTTAGAGGTTGAAAGAGGAAGTATATTCAGGCAGCAGAGAGTCTCACGGTAGGTGAGGTAGCTGATTTAATAGCTAAAAGGGAGGGTAGTGGGCAGCAGGGGGGCAGAGAGCCTGCAAAGAAGGTGCGCACACAGAGGTGTTGCGGATGTTGTAGAGAGACTAGCCACAACGCTTGCACCTGTGCAGTTAAAATTATAGATGCATCTAATAGCAACAAGTCTAAATAGTATCTCTATTACCTACAAATTGCAGTAAGTGGTGGTGGTGTTGCAGCATATGCATTGCAATCATCTTAACTCTGTTAGGTGGTCCACTTGCTTGGGTTGGACCGCTCGCTTGTGAACTACGTTAGTCTATTTCTTGCTATTAAAGTGTAAGTATTCCTAACATGTTTAAGACTTAGTATACTTACACATCTTCTATATTAATAAGGAAGGCTTCCTACTAGCCTTTAGGGATATATTCCTTAATATATTTATAAAGGTTAACTACTAACGTACCCCACGGGCGAGCGAGCCACTTTTGCCAAGCCCCTACCAAAGTACCCTTTCTATACCAATGTCTCAACAACAACCTATTATTAACGCGTCTTAAGAAGCTCAGGTACAGCTTGCGCTTCAAGCTCTTAAACAAGACGCGAATCTCTCCCAGCGACGCGCTGCAGCTATCTATAAAGTGCCTTGAAGCACGCTAAGCCATCAACACACTAGACGACCTTTACAAGGCAATACTCTGCCTAACTTACAAGGATTAGATAATAACAAGGAGAGGGTAATTGTTAAGCACATACTTGAGCTAGACGCGCGAGGATTTGGCCCCTAGCTTGCAGATGTGGCTGCTATGGCCAATTCTCTGCGCGCTGAGCGCAATCTGGGCCCTATTGGCGTAAACTGGCCTAGTATGTTTGTTAAGCGTCAACTAGAGCTTAAAGTAAAGTTTAATTGCAAGTATAACTACAAGCAAGCCCTCTGTGATGATTTAGGGGTTGTATAGGGCTAGTTTAGCCTGGTAGCCAACATTAAAGCCAAGTATAGCATCTAGGATAACAATACCTACAACTTTAATAAGACAGGCTTTATAATAGGCTAGATCTCCTTAGGAGCAGTTGTTACAGCTTTAGAGAGACTAGGAAGGCTAAAAACAGTCTAGCCAGGCAACTAGGAGTAGACAACAGTTATACAGGGCATTAATACAAAAGGATAGGCTATTCTACCCTTTATTATCTTTAAGGCACGCCACTACCTCTCTAGCTAGTATAAGGAGGAAGACCTGCCCTAGGATTAGGTTATTAGAGTCTCTAGTAATAGCTAGACTACTAATAAGCTTAGTCTTAAGTAGTTAAAGCACTTTAACGCACATACAAAGGGGCAAACTGTTAGTACCTACTAACTGCTGGTTATTAATAGCTATAAGAGCCACAACTTGCTCTAATTCTAGCAATACTGCAAGGATAACAAGATTGTTACTATATGTATGCCTCTGCACTTATTACACCTCCTACAGCCACTTAATGTGGGTTGTTTTGCCCCTTTAAAGCTAGCGTATAGGCGCTAAGCCAAAATGCTTATACGTAACTAGATTACCTACCTTACAAAGACTAAGTTCCTCCTATGCTTTAAAGCAGCCTACAATGTGGTGTTTACTCCTAGCAACATCTAAGGAGGGTTCTAAGGTGCTAGATTAGTCCCCTTTAACCTAGAATAGGTTATTTTAACCCTTAATATAAAGCTACAAACTCTATCACTACAACTCCCTACTAACAGCAAGCCCTAGCAGTCGCAAACCCCTAGCAATACCCTAGAATTTAGGTTGCAATTAACTCTAATTTAAGAGAAGTATAAGAAGTAGCAGGGTAGCTTACTAGACTCTGTTCTAAGCGCGCTTAAGCACTACGCAAAGGGGGGAGCAATTTTATCCCACAAGCTAGTTTTAGCCTAACAGGAAATTAGCACGCTTTAAGCAGCTAATAAGGCTGCTACGCAACAAAAATCACACAAAAGAAAGCAGGTTTAGAAGGAAGGGACCCTAATAGTTAGAGATAGGCAGCGACTAGCAGCTCTAAAGGAGTTTAGGGCGCGTGGTGATGGGAAGAAGCCAAAGAAGCGGGTGCGCGCTTAAGAGGGTGAGCCAACCTAAAGGCGCTGCAGAAGGTGCAATCAGACTAGCCACAACGCGCGAACATGCAAGATTGATGTAGAAGTAGTCTCTGAGTGATATTATATGCCGTAGTCTGCCACAGAGTGCCATAGTGTGGTGTTTTAGGCCATAATAGGTCAGGTTTTGGTGGGGGCTTGGCAAAAGTGGCTCGCTCGCCCGTTGGCTCGCTCGCCCGTGGGGTACGTTAAATAGCCTTTAAGGTATTAGGGCTTATTCCTACTAATACATAGGTTGTATTAGATTGCCTTAAAGTGTAGCTACATACCCTACTAGTAGTACCTCTACCTAAAACACTGTAGTAATCTAAGACGCTAAGCAATTTATATAAGTTTAGGTCTTAATCTAAGCTTATAAGTAACTCCTTCTAATAATTACTAAGTATAGTATAAGAAGGGTTCTTAAAGCTTATAAAAGGGGCTAAAGAGAAACTATATAAAAATGTCCTTATTAAGGCCTACATACAAGAGCTTAAAGAGTAATTAGTAGTAATTGTAGTAGTCTGGCCAAAGGCCAATAAAGGATATCTACTTCCTAACAACTTTTGCTAAAAAGCATACAAAAGTTAACTAACGTATTCCACCACCCAACAGCTCAAACCACCCAACAGCTCAAAATGTCTTGGCATAACAAACACCCTCTTTATTGCAACATGCCTTAACTACATAACGCGTTACTATATAAACACAAAGGTAGAGTTAACCTTGCCCTTAAAGCTCTTTATTTAAAACAATTTAAAAGCTAGAGAGCAGCTGCACGCGCTTTTAATGTTAAACAACACATTCTCTCTACACACGTTAGAGGAGCCCTATTTATCCTTAAACAAGCACCTAACAGCTAAAAACTTACACTTATAGAAGAGCAAATAATTGTCTAATATATCCTTAACCTAGATTCGCGAGGATTCGCGCCCTAGCTGTGCGAGGTAGCAGATATGGCTGATAAAGTGTTGGGTGTACGCGGTGGGCAGCCAGTTGGCAAGCACTGGGCTGAGCGCTTTGTAACACGCTCAGCTGAGCTTAAGATGGCCTTCAATTGAGCTAAAGATAGGCAGAGGATACTGCAGGAGGATCTAGAGACAATTGGCGCGTGGTTTAAGCTGGTAGAGGACACTAGAGCCAAGTACAGCGTACACAACTACAACGTGCACAACTTTAACAAGACTAGCTTCTAGATAGGTGTTATTAGCTTAATAAAGGTTGTTACAGGCGCAGAGAGGCGTACTTAGCCTAAGCTTGTTCAGCCAGGTAATCGCGAGTAGGTAACAGTTATCTAGAGCGTCTGCGCTGCTAGATCTTGTACCCTACCTTTTATTATCTACAAAGGACGCGTTTACATCTCTACCTAGTACAAGGAGGCAGATATACTGCGCAATTAGAAGCTCTTAGTCTCTTAGAACAGCTAGACAAACAATGCGCTTAGTCTAGAGTAGTTAAAGCACTTTAACGCGCATACAAAGGCAGGCTAGGTAGGGGGCGTACAGGCTGCTTATTTTAGACGGCTATAAGAGCTACCTTAACTAGGATTTTAAGGACTACTGCCTTAAATATAAGATCCTCACCCTCTACATGCCACCTTACTTGTTGTATATCCTCTAGCTACTTAATATAGTCTACTTCTTGCTATTAAAGTGTAAGTACTCTTAGTGTGTACAAGACTTAACGTAATCGGCCATTGAGTCGGCCAGGCAATTGAGCCGGCCACCTTATGCAGCCACCCACCTTGACACGCAGATAACTCAACACCACAACGTCGTGCTGTGGCTCACAGTACGTCAAATTAATCCACTCTGTCTACAGTATCTTGCTTACATGTGCGCTTATTGTGCC